ATAATTAATAGATAGCTCAAAGGAAGACTTTCAGCTGTTTTCAGTGTCTCAGAATGATTGGTTTGGATTATCAATAGCGACACCTTATTTTTATAGAATTTTGCTTAAGGGCATTTGGTAACAATTTTCACCAAGCCTTTTGTAATATTGTATAATTTATATGTCTGAAGCAACAGTAGCCTTAAAATTCCATTCTTTTGTATTGAATTTTGAAAAATATTGCATAAAAGATTACCTATATTTGTATTTAAATTTTTGAATAATTTAATCCATAGGTTAGATTAATATTATTCAGCTTCTGGTGAATTGTTAAAATATCAATTTTAGCAATTGGCCAGAATTTGTGTTTCTGTTTCATTTCTCCTTATCAATAATTTTATCAAATTTTGAAACCATCCTAAATAAATAAAACAAACACTGCAAAAAGACAAATTTTAAACAAAAGACTACTGAAATGATAAAAAGACACAGAACAATTGCTGAAACTTTAAAAATAATCCTGAACAAAATGGTAGTGGATAGTGCTTAAGTTGATCAGATCTGTTCTGACATTATTTTATTTTATAAAGTGTTATATGTGGTAATGGGCCTATATGACAGGATTTCATTTCAGTTACGGATACAAGGTTGGATGTTCTTTGGGATAAAAAAGTAACATTTTTAAAAATAGACTTATTTTATATAAGATTTCAATAAATTTTTATGAATGAAATGTACATATAACTCTCTCTCATAACCTTGCTGTTGAGATTAATACTCCTTTTTGATATGCTGTTTAATGTGTAAGTTACATTTTTTTCAAAAAAACTTATTTTTTCTGTGGATTACAAAAGCCATTCTAATTCAGATAAATCATAATTATTTTAACATGTTACACAGATCAATACACTTTATAAGCATATGAAACATTATTTAAAAATTTATCTTTAAACACAGAATTACACAGTCTTAAACAGTTTAAAGACTGTGAAATCTCAAGTTGTACAGAAGCTTCACATTGGCTGCATTTTGGTAAAGCATCATATTGCTTTATCAGTTTTTCTTTATCTTTTAAGCTTAAGCCCTTGTATTTGGACATTTTGAGGCACAACCAAGGAACATGTTGATGGGGGAACTGAACAAACTATGAGTATGTAAAGAAATAATAATAATAAAAAAAAGATTTTTTCCTCCCTTTTATACAAACTATACAGATTCTTTTTCACTACTTTTTTTTTGTTGTTGTTGTTGTTTCCTCTTCCCCCTCCAACTGTTCCGAGACAGTTCTAACAAACCTCTTGGAACCCATCCCCACCCACGATTGGCCCAGATAAGAAAATTTTAGCATTTCCACCTCCATGTGTAAAAGCTAATTAATCTTGAATGGCATCACTGACCTTGAGACACAGACTAAGGGGATTTTGACAATTCCGGATAAAAAAATTCTACCATTTGCACCTGCACATGTGAAAGTAAATCGACTTTGAATAAAATTGCTGAACTTGAAGCATGAACTTAGGGTTTTGATTTTACAATTTCAAAAGTGATTTGATTTTTGTAAGCAGTAGCATTCATTTTATTAAGTGGTTATATTAAAATCATATTGTATTCATTGAAATTCATTCCTTGGGTCTTGATTTTAATAAGCAGTTGACTTTTTAAAGTAATGATTTTATTAAGCATTACACACTGTAGTGCCATCTTATGGCAGAAATGTCATAAGAGTGCCATACTAATGAGAGCATCAAACCCTGGATGCTGGATTATCAGACTTTTACTTTACAGAACAGAAACAAACAGTGAGCGAACTGTTTCTAAGACTAATATTGCAAAATTATTACTACATTTAAAAATGGAAGACAAAATTCTAAGATGGTTATAGCAATCTTGTATTTAATAGCTGAAGAAGCACATCACATTAACAGACTGAAAATGTGCAAAAAAAAATTTGATATCATGCTGTCTGGTTAAAGAGGATGGCAACATTGAAAGGGCTCAAATTCTGGTGAATGAGTTGGTTACATAAAAGTTTCTGAAGTTTTCCCAATTTGTAAACAGAATATGAGGCAGTTTGCTTTACAAAGCCCTACATGAAGGCATTCCCCTTAAAGCATATATTCCTAAAGTGCATTGCCATAATCAAATAATCCTAATCCATTAGAATACCCTTAATTAAGGTAACCCTTCCCTTAGGAAGCACTTGCATATTTTATTATATTTAATTAAAATAGCAAACTTCTTCCAATGTAATATCTTTTGTCACACAGTACATTTTTAAATTAAAAATTTTTCATAATCTACATAAGCAGTAAGTTATCTATGAATGGAAAATAATCAAATAATTATAACAAAAACTAAATAAATATGACTGTAATAATTAAAGAAAAGATTCTAAAATTTGTAGATCTTTTTTTATATTTGAAAGCTTTCTAAAAGTCAAACCACAATAAAATTATTATTTTAGGTTAGGTTGATTTCATATAGCAAGGGCTATGTCCCTAACGGAAGAGAGGGCTTCCTGAGGGAAACTGGCTCCTATTCACCTTACACATTGAGAAAAGCATAAAAACCAAATATGCAACCAGCCTATTCGTCTTGGTGTTCAGGAAATCAGTATACCTTAAAGTTAATTTATAATCTAATTTCAGAGAAATGTAGTCTCTTAATGAGTTGTATTTAGTCTAATCACTTATTTGCACTATCAAAAGAAACTTTTTATTCAGGAAAAAAAGAAAATGTAATATTAAAAATCAGTAACATAAATTTTAAGGTAGAATATTTTAAGAGTTTTCATTAAATCATTGATTTTTATTACACTGGAATTTTGATTTATTTTCTTTTATTTTCAACTATAAGTTTTTAACCTTTAAGTCATTATTCATTTCAGAAATTCCTAAATGTAACCCTTCTAAAACTTAACGCATTCCGGTGAAATCTTTTCTTCACAGCTTTAAGTTTGATATCAGTTACCATTTTCATTTTAGTGCAACTAAATTTAAGACTACTTTCTTCTCTCAAATGCTTTCCTAACACTCGAAATTCGAAAAAAAAACGACTGTTCTACACTGCAGTGCCTCGAAAACTGAACATGGTTTGTTCACGGGGGGAACGAAAATTTACACAAATTGGCGAATAATAGCCAAATGTAATAGCCAGCAGATCAGTGCTAGACTTTGAGGAGAAAACACATTTCACCTTGTCCGTGAGCATGCACATAACGTCTGTTCTTTAAGGAGCTGTTTCACGGCCATTCTGATTTGAGACGCTAGTCATAACCATTGACACCGTAAATGCATATATAACACCTAATTCATAACTAAAAGACTAACAGGACTTACATATAGTTTTTCTACAATATTGTAATTATTTTAAAGATAACCCAGAGGCACATAAAGAGAATGAGCATTAAGTTCAATGTAGAAAATAGCTAGAGTTTGTAAATATAGTTCATTTATATATATATGTGTGTGTGTGTGTGTGTGTGTGTGTGTGTGTGTGTGTGTGTGTGTGTGTGTGTGTGTGTGTGTGTGATTCTTTGCATACTGAGCATTACCATATTTACAAGCACATCAAAATAGGATAAAATATAAAGCATGCATAAGCTGTTAAAATGGATAAAAAACAAATATTAGAAAATCATGTTACAAAATTACACTAGGGAAAGCCGAGCCATGCAAATGTGGCAGTCCTCCCATCCTTACTTTAAATCCCAAAATATATTATTAATATTCCAAGACAAATGCATTAAATGAAATTTACTACAATATGGTTTGATATGATCACAACAATTATTCCACCTTAAAATATTTGATAACATTTTCAAAACTCATTTTAAGTTAGCTATGATTTATACAAATTTTCACCAAAAATAAAACATTTAGATATAAATTTAATTTAAATGTTAATTATTTTACATAAAAAAGATAAAAAGTACTAATTGCCTAATTCAGCAGCTTATATTTTATAGCTTTAGTCTTTAATTTTTTAATAGAGAAGTAAGACCAAGACAGTATACTAATTCTTGAATATCTCTGTGTATTTTAGTCATCTAACATAACCTTATAAACAAAAATTGAAACATTGACTTTATTGACTCATTAAAAGAAAGGTTTGGAGTTTAAAGAGATATTATTAATAGCATATTTATTTTGATTAAATCATGATTAACAGTTAATAAGTTAATGATTTCAAATTGTATTATCAGACTTCTTACTCTTTTTACTACATTAAAATAAACCTACTAATGAATGCAATCCAATTTACAAATAGGCACTTACAGATTATATTTCAAATTTCTGAAATCAATCATAAATTTTTCATTTAATAAAACAGATTCACACAATGATTGTTGGCAACTGAAGAAAATAAGCCAGAATTCTCACCATTTTTAAAATGAATCACTACTTCTTATAATTTTACATAAATTCTAATTATTTTACATAAAAAAGATAAAAAGTACTAATTGCCTAATTCAGCAGCTTATATTTTATAGCTTTAGTCTTTAATTTTTAATAGAGAAGTAAGACCAAGACAGTATACTAATTCTTGAATATCTTCTAACATAAACCTTTATAAATAAAAATTGAAACATTGACTTTATTGACTCATTAAAAGAAAGGTTTGGAGTTTAAAGAGAGTATTATTAATAGCATATTTATTTTGATTAAATCATGATTAACAGTTAATAGTTAATGATTTCAAATTGTATTATCAGACTTCTTACTTTTTTACTACATTAAAATAAAACCTACTAATGAATGCAATCCAATTACAAAATAGGCACTTACAGATTATATTTCAAATTTCTGAAATCAATCATAAATTTTTCATTTAATAAAACAGATTCACACAATGATTGTTGGCAACTGAAGAAAATAAGCCTGAATTCTCACCATTTTTAAAATGAATCACTACTTCTTATAAAGTTAGAAGAAACTAAAAGCTCAGGTTTGTAATTAATAACTATAATTAATGAAAATAAACTTTTAAACCATGTGAAAATTATTAGTTTTGTTACTTACCACTCCCTCTGGATCTACTAAAAGTAAATGCTTCCTAATTCCAGCTTGCATTCCTGTCAAAACATACTGCCCAGGAGAGCCTTGAGATTCCCGTACCAGAAAATCCCCATCCCTCACAACTAATGCTTCACTTTCTTTCCTGCTGATAGGTCCATGGAACCATTCTTCTTGTAGCAGTACTACCCTGTGATTTGCTAACCCTGCTGGCCACTTGTGTTTGACAGATGTTACAAATGGAGATGGAGATGGAGATACACATGAAGCATGTGGTGGTGGATTAGGTGGAGAATCCAACAATCGATGTCTGGGTGGTGGTGGTGGTTGAATGGGCTCAGGGAATAAGGCTGATTCAAAGGGTTCTAAGAACATGCATTATCACTGCATTATATATTAAAAGAATATAATTATAATATGCACATGTCTTAAAATAAATTCCTTAAATCATTGGTTTTAATGATTAATATCGTAACTAAAGCAGTATTAACCATTTAGTCGCTAAAAACCCATATATGAGTTTAAAAAATCCTCCACAAGGCCTATGAACTCATATAAGAGTTCTAAATGCTTTATCGTAGGGTATGATAAAGCATACCCTAGATCATCATATGAACCCATGTAATATGTTTACACAACCATTCAATAACTACTTAAGTACATGGTTGGAAATAATGATATTTACATGCATTGAGATGAAAGCAAATAATCTACTTCTTGTCTGTCACAAGTACTACTTTTACCAGTGTGCCTAACTTAATACAATCACTTTAATAACAAATCAAGTAGGAATAGTAACATTTCAAGTATGAATAAGTCAGGAGAAATTTCCATTGGTATTTTGTTTTTGATAAATATTGGCTACAAGACAAAATAATGTTATAACAAATATGTTACTTAAAACAAAAATCAAAAATTGCTAATTTGTCATCAAGACAGCTAAGTGAAATGCATTTCTCCAGTATATCCCTATGGGTCAGTGCTCATTTTTACAGCAATGTAAGTTATGTGTGGTTCCTAAATGCAGATTTCTGAACTAAACCAGAGTATCCAATCACAATGAATACGACAAGAACTACCAATATTCGCTTTCTAAACTTAGGTTCTCATTCATTGGTTAACATCAACTTGTATTTTTTCACAGAGTTCATGGGAAGAGTAGAAGTGTAGGTGTTACAACTTTGATTGATATAAAATTAGCAATATGTTCACAGAGACGGATAACTTTTTAAATTTGAAAAATTATTTTACAATAAGAATTTTAATAAATTCTAACATAACAGAAATGTAAATAAATGTAACAATAATCATCATTCATACTGATAATAAGAACTCAAGTTTTGACAAATAGTTTGACTTTTAAAAATATGCTTATTCTAAATCTTATGTTTACATAAAAATATTTTTTGCTTTGGAAAAAAAAAGGGGAGGTTGATGATAATACTGTAGAAGTTCAGAAATCCACAAAGCTTGGGACCAGAGGTTGTGTGGATTTTGCGGATTTCAGGACAGAAAAGATAAATCATAATATTCAGACTAAAAGTGCAAAATAAATAAGGCGTATTAGATACACTTAATTAAACTATTATATACATTATAGCAATAACTTATTATATGCATCAAATTATTATTACATATGGAGATAATATAATCAATATAATTTAGTAAATAAATTATAAATTGATTATGTTATTAATTGTATTATACACTGATTATCATAAATTAAGGAAAAATCACAAAAATCACGATTACTGAAAAAGTTACATATAGAACTTTATGAAACTTACCCACAATATACAACACATAGTAAGGTATCAAATAACATAAAAAGAAATTACCAGACAATTATGGTAGTATAGAAATTAGCATATGTATAAAATGAACAAATCGAAGATGTCAGTTTGCTATAGTAAAAGTACCTTCAATATGGAATATAATCGCCTCTAGAAGCAATACAGCACATTCTGCGATGTGCGATGCTTTCAATTATGCGGTCTATCAGTTCCATAGGAAGCGAGAGCCATTGCTCTTGCAAAGCAGTTGTAAGCGCGGCAAGGGTCTAAGGGGACGGATTGAGAGCAGCTAGATGTCTCCCTAAAGCATCCCAAACATGCTCAATACGATTCAAGTCCAAGGATTGAGCTGGCCACTCCATGCGCATAATTGTTTCCTGTTGTAGATAATCATCTACGATGCGAGCCCTGTGTTGGATTTGTGTTGTTGTCCTGTAACAGGAAAGCATCACCTATTGCCCCAGCATATGGGTGCACATAAGCATCAAGGATGTCATTTCTATAAACATGAGCATTCACGGTTTCCCTTGAAAAAACATGGAGGTCTGTATATCCACCCAAAGAGATGCCACCCCAAACACAGACACTGCCTCTTTTTCACGGATGTTGATGGATGATAACTGGTTCCAGGTTTTTTCCATATCAAATAACACATACTATTGCATTCTAGACTAAACCTGGACTCATCCATAAATAGAATAGCCCTCCATTGCTCAGGCGTCCAGTGGACATGTTGTTGGGCCCACTGCAAACGGTCCCGGCTATAGCGTGACTTGAGCGGCACGCAAATGGTTGTTCGCCTCGCATATAGACCACCTTTGTGAAGTCTTCTACGCATAGTTGACGTTGACACCAACCTTCCGGTGGCTTCAGCAAGGGACTATCTAAGAAGAGTCGGAGTAGCGGTTCTATTTCTAAGTGCACATAATGTCCAATATCGGACAACAGCGCTCGTCGTAGCAGTTGGCCCTCCTTGGCTGAACCTCCTAGGTGCCGAATCTGTGATTTGAAATTGCCTCCAAAGTCTATGAAACACAGAAGAACTCCCATTTAGGCATCTGGCCACTTCTGTTTGACTTTGTCCTGCCTCTAGTCTCCCAATGGTTTTCTATCAAAGTTTTGCAGGCAAATGATGCCTGGAGATCATTTTTACGAATCGGCTATCTCAAAATTTCTGATGTCACTATCACAGTGAAATATGTGGGCTTGCTCTCACACATGGACTTTTATGCTCCTCGCAGATGACGTATTCCGAGGGCAGCACCACTAATTTCTATATTGGAGTTTTACTCAGCTACACTTACTTGGCAACATATTCAAATTTTAAACGGTTTGGCTTATTTTTGAGGGAGTTATCGCTATTTTTGTGATTTTTCTTAATTTATGATAACCAGTGTATATACACAGCATCGAGGTTTGCCGATTTCGAATCATGCAAAGATTTCCGGTGTTAGAATCACTGTTGCTGTAAAATTTCAACAGCTTTTCTTCATTTTCTGTATATCATACACAATCGTATCGCAATTCCACATGATTCTGCTATAAAATGCACATGTCTTCATCTTTTGCAGAATTTGCACTTTTTGCATTACCGTCAATGCAACATGTTTACGTTTTTCAACGTTGCAAGCAGTAAAATCACGGGTGCGTTTCGTATCTGTAATTGCATTAAAAAGGCCAGAAATTTAAAATATTCTTAATTTATCCACAAAATACCCGGATAAATAAAAGGCAGCACTAAATAATCTCATGAAATAACAAGCTCAGAAAATATAACAACGTGAATTGTGAACCCGAAAGAAGAGTTGAGTTAATCATCTGCTTTCTTAACTCAATGGAGATTAGAGGGGAAAAAAACTTTTATCATGATGTCAATAATTCGGTATTTCTGTTATGACTCATTATTATTTAGTAATTATGACGTCATTATTCAGTAAGTATTTTTTCTTCGATGTTTCATACTCAATGTTGCGGTTTCTGGAACCTATAAGCTGAATGTTTATATTTTGAGAGGTAACGCTGATTTCAGGAGTTGGCGGATTTCAGGTTGGTGGGTTTTTGGTATTTGACTGTACTAGTTACCCTTCCAACTGTAAACAACAGTTTGTTTAAGAAATTTCTATGCAGTTAAGGCCACGAAATAGCCTTGGATATGAAACATCTTCAAAGTCAGTTTCATTTGTTGTTTTTGCTACTCACAGAAAAGAAGATAAAAATGTTATCTTTTAGTACAATTTGCCACAGTTAAAAATTTCTATAGTAGAAGACAGTATGTTTTGCTTATAATGTTTTTTTGTTTGTTTTGTTGTGACATATTCGAAAGTATCGAACATATACATGCTGACCAGTTGTGAAATCTACAACTAAATTTTGTTATACATAAAATGAAGTTAAGTAAAATAGCAGAAGATAAAATGGCAAAGTAAAAATTACTCTTATAAACAGAGGAAAAAATTAAGTTTTGATAAACAATTTTTGTAAATTTAAAAAATAGTTTTTAATATATTATTATTATTATACACTTATTAGGCATTATTAACAAAAATGAGAATAAAGCTATTCCATGTGAATAATCCTCAGTAAAAGTTTAATTAGAAATTTATGTTTCAAAATAACTTTTGCTATTCATTAAGATTGTAATGAGTGTAAACCATATCTAGCATTATTATCGCTATAATAAATATGCCAAATTTCAAAACATGCCAATATATAAATTCACATACATCTCTGGAAATTTTGAATTAAAAACTCTAATTTTTTCAGGAATGTCTAGAAATACATATACATTAAAATGATGTTAAAAATTTTATAATTCAAATTTTTTTCAAGAAATTTCTCAAAAGTATTTTAAAATAAACCAGGAAAAAAATGTGTTAATTTTAATTGGATTAAACCTAAATTTTGATTTATGAAAGAAGAATTCTTCTAAATCAAAATTTAGGTTTAATCCAATATTATTAAATATATTATTATTCAATATTATTAAATATATGTGAAATTCATATAACACTGCAAGATTAAAATTCTGACTGTTAATTAAAAAAAAAGAAAAAGAAAACTGGTGGAATGACATAACTATGAATTTCAAGGGCAGGTACAGGTACAAATCCTCTTCATCAGGAGCAAAGAAATCTGCAATAAAGGGAAGGCTGCAGTTGTATTTATACTCAAATGGAGCAAAGTAAAAAATATGGCAGCACCATTTGTCAGCAAAAATTTTCCTTATTTCTTTAATTTTTCAATTAGGTTAATAGAAATTTAAAAAGCATTAGAAATGATTGGATTAGAATTAAAGTCACTATCTAAACAAGATAAATCTTTGTGAATGCGCAAAACTTCAAGAAAATCTAATTCACCAATGGAAAAAGCTTTTTGGATATTTTTTGTAGAATCAAAGTCAAAATTGTGATTTAATTTTCATGTATGATTAGCTCTTGAAAATTTGTTAGTTTTCCTTTTTGGATTCACAATTTGTGTTCCTTCATGAGAAACATTAACATTGTCTTAGTTTGGTCAATATATCTCAAACCACACTGACAAGATATGCTATAAATTCCTCAAGAATTAAGGTC